ATAATTGTTACTTCTTGGTCTTTTTGAACATTCCCTTAGGAACTTGTTTGAACCATTGACCCAACAATACAAAAGGGAAAGTCTGAGTTTTTGTGTATATGTAAAATCTGGATTTGGTGGTTTATATCTATGAGATATTTGTTGTGGGAATCTAMGAAGCATTCTTGGAGYTGAGTTTGTCCTTTTTTWWAAAAAAATTGCAGGAGCTTSTGAGTCAGTTTCAGAATGCAACTGATGAAGGTATGCGTAGTTTGGTTTTGATCGACCCTAAGTATCTGTTAGAACATTTTGAAAGTATTGTTGCATAGGACTGGCTTTGGTGCTTTCTTGTGATTATTACATCTATTGACAATTTTTTGTGAAAAGTTGAGCCTACACTCATTGCTGATTTGCAGTCTGATTTTGAGGACTCTGTACGGCTTCATATGGAATGTTGCGTGGGGTACTTAAATATAAATGAGGAAATGCAGTACGTGTTAAACATTCCTTTATCGGGTTTATATCTGAGTTCAATCAACCATGCTGGGATGTATGATCATTAGGCTTCATAGCATATGCAAAGCGTTATCATTTTCTCTCTTATTTTGAGTTCTTCGGATTATCCTACATCGACACTTGCTCCTGCTGCGCATGGCAAAATTGCTGTCGTAACTTTCAGATGCTTTTATTAGGCTATATCTCTGGTTTTGTCACTTAAGTATAGATATCTTAACACGATTTACTGTCTTGCACCTGTAGAAACAAAGGAAAGAATTGTAGCAAACTTGGCAAATTTTGCATATGACCCTTACAACTACACGATTTTACGTCAGGTAACTTCGAGTTTGCTCGTGTTTTATCATTTGCGAAAGAGAAACTAAATATCCCAGACTTTATCCTCTTCGTGATGAAATGCTAATGGTGGTTTACTTGAGCAGCTAAATGTGTTGGAACTATTCATAGACTGTATAACAGAGCCAAATGAGAAGCTTGTGGAATTTGGGATAGGAGGCATATGCAACGCTTGTGCTGGTAAAACATCTGGAGCATGCAAATATACTCTGATGCTAACTAAGCTATTTGTTGTTTGCCGTAATTGCAGTTAATTATCATCAATTTCATGCTCTTTCCTCTTCTTGTGCAGAGCCGAAGAATGCTGCTACCATTGTCGAGGCTGATGGAATTCCTCTTATAATCAAATGTCTATCAAGCCCTGTCCGGAACACTGTGAGTACACAGGGTTTCCCGCATCACCATTGTTCTTCTGGCCTTAATCTAAAATGGAAACTAAGTCGTTTTTGTTTCGTAATAGGTAAATTATGCGCTTGGGGCTTTGTATTACATGTGTGACTATAACAGAGCAACAAGAGAGGGGATTGTGAGTCGAGCCGAAGTAGTTGATCTCATCAAGAGGTATGCAGCAGCTGAATCTGTCAGTGTAAGCTTTAGTAACTTGGCTAAGGCGTTTCTTGACAAACATGTTGATGCAAATAACACATGAAATTCTTGAATTTTTTGGTTCTATTTTTATTGGATACAGCTTGAATATACCAAAGATAGTGTTCTTTCAAACTTAATTCGGATATCAAACAGAACATACAATTAAAATATAGTATATGGGAAATAATTCCAGTGCGTAATGTCATAGTACTACTACCTAAAAAATGTGCTAATGGAATTTATCTATTTTTTTAATTGTTACTAGTTTGATGAAAGTTATCGATTTTGACAAAGTTTGATTTGAAAAAGTGGTCTTTTAACCAGTTTGATATGCATTTAGAATCTATCCTTGGTTTATCGATGCACCCTTTTGATCGTCCTTGGAAGTGGAACCAAAGTTAGCGAAAAGTTACATAGTCTGATAATAGTTGTCTTTTTATCAGAAAGTCACAGAGTCTGTAGGCCAGTTCGACCGAGCAAAAACTGCTAAAGCCATTGACTGTCCTTACCCATGCGACACAATATGTCACAAGCTGATTTTCGAGTGAGTAAATTATAAGAGAGATAGAATCGACATTTATTA